AAAAGCCTAACCGCAAGGCAGCGGTGTTTGGCGGGGAAATGCAAATGCATTACCTTTTCTACGGAACAAGTCGCCATACATGTTCCAACCCCCAACCTGGAGGACCAGGAGACTGTGTTCGTCTGACCTCTAACCATTGACCAACCTGGTATGAGAGACTCTGTGAGTGTCGCGCGGACACCCCCCAGTATAGCTCAATGGGTCGCCGAGGTACACAAACCGCCACACCACAATAAGGTCCAGTCTCTTCTGTCAGTGGACTGTTAAGTGGAGGAATTGGGAAGGGAGCTATTCACTGAGAGCAATAGCTTGGACGCACGAGCGCCGCCGAGGGCGCTTTGCTGCCGTAATTATGGTTGTACGTGGGCTGGGATACTACCAGGGCGCCCACATACAGACAGGAGGACGATTAGAGTCTTCAACCGAGGCCTTGGGCTCAAAAACCTGACCACAATGCAGCGATCTTTGGCTGAAAATACAAGTACTTTTCAATTTTTACGGAACAAGTCACTACATATTCCAACTCTCAACCTGGAAGACCAGGAGACTGTATTCGTCAGACCGCTAACCACTGGCCAACCTGATATGAGACACTGCGAGTGATGCGCGGACAGCCCCTCCTTAGTATAGCTCAATGGGTCGTGGAGGTACACAAACCGTCACATCACGGTAAGGTCCAGTGTCTTCGTGACGGGTTTAAAACACAACTGAGCTGATCACTAATAGCATGTCTCGCATAACTGTCTGAGGGTATCCGGTGACATGGAATTACATAAATCTACATTACCTCGTATGCCAGTTGTGTACAAGCTAAACGCAGACACCGATCTACAAATGTGCATCGATCGCTCAGAATTCAAGCCACTGACTATTTAGCGCTAGTGCATTTGTACACTTCCAACACAGAAACCCGTAGAAAGCCACTTATGGCCTTGACCGACCGCTTATGAAACAGTAAGCTCATGGGATACAGAGGCTACTGAGACAGGGTGTGCGGGGGTTCCCCACACGAACGTTTCATGCCGTTCACACGACGATCAGCCAAAGGGGCCTCCCTCCCTACCTACCTGGCTTACTGTCCCTGGGCCAATCCTTTTAAAACGCAATGATCGAGTCTCTAAATATGACCCTCTGGTAGAGGAAGTGGAACTCGTCTCTTGTAATCCACAGTACGCCCACATAGTTCGTCCAGATGGCAAACACGAAACCGTATCCTTGCGCCGCTTGGCTCCCAAAGGCAAAGACATGACATCCGATACAAAACAGGAACCAATACATATCGCCGAACAAGGGGAGCCTCACACAACACCAACAGTCCACCGTGGTTGCTCAGAAACTGAACTCTTGCCTATTAACGATGCCTCGCCATCCCATTCTAGTGCAGATCCAGGAAATCACTTGGACATTCTTATCCGACAACAGCGCACTCACCCATATAATCTACGCAACAGAGAGGCGTAAACGACTCCATGTAACTATTACAGCCTTTTATTTTTTACATTCTTTCTCCGCAAAGTACACACTTATTCCAAGGCGGGGAGAATGTCATGACTATATAACCCATACCTTTGCATAACCCATTAACTCGTGATTCTCACTCTATTTCCAGCTCATGTACTACAGTTATTAGACGATTAAAGCGTACATTACGTCTTCCTATTCTGTCTCCTTTCTAATCCCGTCCTGGAACTACTCGACTCTCGCAACAGTTGGTATCGTCGTAAGTCACTGAGCAGGAGGATTATTGCTTGACTGGACGCCCGATGATAGTCGTCCCTGTGCGGTTCGCTTGGCAACCTTGGTGAAGGAGTCTCACAAGCGTGAAGTTAATCGATGTCTGTTTGTCGTGTCCACTCATGTCCCAACCGACTACAGCTACGAAGATTGCTTCAGGAAAGCCGTGAGACCGGCCCCAGAAACCACATGTGAGCGAAACCATCAAGAATGAGAATGGAGTGACCTTGGATTGAGAAGGCTTCGACCGTTTTACCAAATACTTTAAACAACAATTATCGCATCCACCAGCTGCCACTCAAGGCGAAGAGATAGCTCAAGCGCTTAGAGTACCAATTTAATGACCGGAAGGTCTGTGGTTCGAACGCGAGTTCTGTCCCTCGACTCCCTCTGCCTAGGCTTGAGCAACCTGGCAGTATCTCAGTCCTCGTGCTTCCTTCGGGTGGCATGGCAGCTAGGCATCAAGAGGGTATTATGGCTGAACGATTTTTTTCACTTTTACTAAGAGCTGACGTAGAAGCCTGGACAATGAAACAGGAGCCCCTTACGGCCTGTTTCTGAATGCATATGTTCTCTCAAGCACCTGGTCCAGATGACCTCCCACCTGTATTGTTCAGTGAGGTCCTCCTAAAGAGACGAACGCTGAAACGTTTTCAAGTCCCTGTTGTGTTTTTGGACGAACTGACCAAAGTCAACCCGTCCTTTGGTATGCACTTTGCACCCACAAAGTTTAAGTTCATGCTCCCAGACATGCAGTCACTGAACACGCATGGGAGAGGCACTCGAAATGGTGGAGCGTTTTACGTATCTTCGAAGTCGTATTAGCTCCGATTGTAGTGTGACAGATCAGCTCAGTGTACGAATCGGCAAGGCTTGGGTCGCGGTTGCTAATTTGAAACACCTATGGTGTCAACGCGGCATATCCCTGAATCTCATGGGACGTGTGTATCGGGCTATAGTACGGGTTGTTTGGTTGTGTGACTGTGATACTTGACCTGTTCGAGCAATGGAACTGAGACGTCTTCAGGTGTTCAACAATCGTTGTCTCAGAACCTAGCTTGGGGTTCGGTTGCGCAACGGGTTATTCCATTGAAGAATGTGTCCAGCACCAGAAGCTGTATTGGCTGGGACATTTGTTGAGTGTGGCGAATCATTTTTTGACGAAGAGTGATGTTTTGCATGCCCGACTCAGAGTGGCTGAAGCAGAGAGGTGACCAACCCTTGACCTGACAGTGTGATGTGAAGGAGATTACGAAACGCTTGGACGCTGTCGGTGCTACTCGCCTCCTAGGATGCGAACCACGGGATCCCCACTACGTCGGAGACGCGATATTTCGTTCGTTAACGGATGGAGTCAGAATTGTTTTTGTACGAAATCTGTCGATTGGATGGCAGTGTGAATATCGATCATTCGTGTTGTGAGGTTGCTCTGATGTCATGTTGTCGATGATGATGTTGAATTTCGAGATAGTAACGATGAATATTTCGTTAACGGATGGAGTCAGAATTGTTTTTGTACGAAATCTGTCGATTGGATGGCAGTGTGAATATCGATCATTCGTGTTGGCTGTGAGGTTGCTAGCTCACGTCTTTTATCGATTGCTTTATTCCGTTCTTGGTGGACAGATTTCGACTCACCACATATTTTTATTACATGTGAAGGTGAACCGTATGGGATGGAGAGAAAACCATAGGCTCATTGGGTGAAATGGTAATCAAAAAATAAAAAATCGTTCATATGTAGCACCCTATCAGTGCCTAACTGCCATGCCACCAGGAGGAAGCACGAGAGCCAAGATTTTTACAGGTTGCCCAAGCCTAGACAGGGGAAGTCGAGAGGCAAACGTCGGATTCGAGCTACGGACCTTCCGATCAGCTAATTCGCGCTCCCACCACTGAGTCATCAGAGTTTCGGTCTCCGAAAAGTAACATTCCAGCTATCCACGTATCGGAGCAGTCAATGGAATGGTAACCGTCTAAAAATCTTTTCAAGGACAACGCGAATGCAATGACTATGTACCAACAAACGGCGTAGTGTCTACGTCTTTGGTCATCATTTGACCAACATTGATCCGGAAAGAACAATGTTGCTTGTTGTTGGTTGATCAGATGGTAGTTTGCATGCAAACCAATTGTCAGGCTCGGCGAACCAACAGTGAACACACCCGAGCTACACATATTTCAACAAATCGACAACGTTGCTTTTACCACTCTTGAAATCCGATAATCCATGGATGACCGCCGAGGTTGTCAGCCAGTTTTCAAACAAATAAATTAATAAACAGACGCAGTAAGCTCGCTACGCGCTGGTGCACTTCGCATTTTGGATTTTTGGGGTTCAAACGCTGTCAAGGTTAAGGATAGAGCGATGAACTCTAAGAAGAGCAAAGCCGAAGTTCACTGCTCCTCTTTGGTGTTGATCGGCCGGAATAATTGCACCAGGATATGAGTGACGTGAATGGGCATAAAGCAAAGGTTTTTTGGGTGGCAATCGATTGAAATTGCAATATGGGGAGGAAAAAAGGCAGTTAATCTCCGATACGTGAATCAGTCAGCAACTGCGTATAGAGAAACGAGCTAGCTATTGGAGCAGGATGTAAATAACATCGAAAGCAACAACATGGAGCAGTTGACAAACCTCGGGAGTGACCAGGGATGCATCAAAATCCACAAATAGTTGTTTGAGGACCTCAGCCGGATCATCTGTTGCATACGTAGGTAAATTTTTCAGGAAAGCCGGCAAGTAGGCAGCACAATACCGGGCTACTTCGGATCCTCCATGGCCGTCGTATACAGCAAACAGTGAAGCGAATCGCGATGGATCAAATTCTGGTTCACAGTTATGGGCATCCTGTGATGGAATGAGATAGAATATTCACGAGTCTACCTTTAGGGGCATCAAATTCACACATGAGATGAAAGTACCAGGCAAGAAAAAAACTAAGGATAGAGCAAAACAAGTTTCGATTCGATTGAACCAGACAGAGCCTCCGTCGCTTACATGATGGAAATAGACCGCTAACTATGCCAAATAAGTATATGGGAATCCATGGTACATCCCTGACTGGAAACACTATCAGTAGGCCGCTTACAATGATGGTAATGATCACATATCAATAACGGGTACCAAGTCTCCAACTTGGTTTGCATCTAAGAGCTCAGCCCTGTTGAGCATAAGAGTCTTGAAGTCGACCAGGTCAGAATAACTCAACCCTCACTACGAACAACCCTCCCATCAAGTGGTCAATCGGGCTGGCAGGAACAGGAACAGAGCTAACCGTTTTCAGCTCCAAAATATTCCAAACCACAACCAGTCGGGGGGAAGGAAGAGGTTCCTTCTGTTGATCACCTCACGCTAAGTGAGATCCACCCACAAGACTGAGTACACCAGAGACAGTAAGTGTGCCACAAGATCCCCAATTAATCTTACCATGACCAGTGTTCAAAGCCGTCAGTTACTGTGCCTAATCCCGAGGAAACCAGGCCCTCCCATCAGAGACACTAACAGAAAAACGAGTCCGTCCTTGTAAGTTACACATGAGGAAAACTTGAAGACTCATTCTTCTATTCTAAATAACGGGCTCGGTGGAACTGAACGACGGACCTCCAACTATATTAAATCATGCGGCTTGTTACCAAAGGTGTAAACTTCAATCAGATTGTTTTTGAATGTATGTATGCATATATGCCTTTGTGTTTATGTGTCCAGTTACTTATTTATTTATGTATGTATTTGAATGTATGATCATTTGAAGGTTGATTGAACACAGATAGAGACAGACCCGCAAAAACCAAGCTGGGTTCCGTCCGACAGAGTCTGCCTTTTACTCTGTGGAGCAAAGGTGTTCCCCTAAGTTCTTGACCCTCCTCAAGACGCTGCGTGCCAACCACCTCAGACGTGTGAAGGTCTACAGGAAACCCTCGCCTGAGTTCATCACATCAATCAGTACCAAGCAAGGCTGTCCTCTCTTGTCTTTTATCTTCAACTTCGTCAATGATACAACCAATAGAAACTAACTGTCAGCGTCTAATGCGTGTGAGGTCGAAGTGCTTCCGGGTCGTCCACTCACAGACATCGAGTGCGCAGACGACGTAGCTCTTCTTGGATCTCATGTCGTCGTAATGCAAACAATACTAAATAATCTAAATAATTTGGCTTCATTGTTTGGCATGAGCTTCACATCGGTAAAGTGCTAGTGGAAGACTAGGTGGGCTCCAAACCCTAACCTAACCTCATGCTTTCGGATGAGCCGGTTGAGGAAGTAGACAAATTTGTCTACCTGGGTATCTATACCAGTCCCGATGGTCTTGCGAAAGATGATAGTTCCATCCGGATTGGGAAGGCCAGAGCGGCTTTCGTGAACTTACATCACCTGTGGCGTAGGTGTGACATCAGGTTGTCCATCAATGACTGCGATGTTCTCCGTTACTACTTCAGAGTGGCGCAAACCACGAGGTGAACAACGTATGACTTGGCAGAAGGACATGAAAGAGATTACGAATAGTTTGGGTGTTTTTAATTTTGTACGGCTTCGAGGATTGGACCCTGTGAACGCTCCCCTGCGCTTGGCTGGAGACATTGCAAGAAATGGCGGCTGACCGATGCGAGCGGAGTTCGTGCCGTCAGTTTCTTTTCAGATTGTCTGAATGAACGATTGGTGGTGTAGGCACCTCAGAATGCTTGATATAGACCAGCACTATTTCCCCTTCGTCACCAATTCTGTTCCTCTTCTTCTCACTCTAAGGCTTTTAAGTATAATTAGATGAATTTTATGGTTGTACGGCGGCGAAATATCAGTGTCAACACTGATATTGCTGTCTATGGTGGCGATTGTGACCTTAAATCCTCCTACTGCCTTGTGGGTCCATCTATGAACCAAAGGCTCAAGCTGGGTTACCTCGACCGTACTATCTTTTTCGGCTTGGGCAACCGAGGAGCATCATTTATCCTTGCACCTCTACTCGCCGTCCTCCTGCGCTTCCCTTCCCCACCCATGGAATGATGCAGTGGAATAAACCCTTCTGCCAGTTTATTAGGCTTGTTGTGGCCTTCCGTGTCCGTACTCCATATCAAATTGGGCAACAGACATCTGTCGCTGAAATCTCTCTATCGATGTGTGTTGTGTCTCGGTTGTGCACCTCAAGCCGCTTGGGTTGAGCTGAAGTGTTCTCCATTCCACTCTCCGGTATGTGGTGATCCTGGCGCCATGGCTCGCGGTATCTACTGTGTGGGTTGAAAGCGCATCATTGGACTTGGCACCAGTAAACAGTCATCATTGTGCTGTACGGTTTTCTGGCTCAATTAGGTTGAATGCAGGTTGAGGCAGTAAATAGTGTTTATTTGTCGTATCAGCATACCCCCTACAGATCATTGGACTTGGCACCAGTAAACAGTCATCATTGTGCTGTACGGTTTTCTGGCTCAATTAGGTTGAATGCAGGTTGAGGCAGTAAATAGTGTTTATTTGTCGTATCAGCATACGCCCCTACAGACTGCAGTGCTGAGATTGAGAAGAACGGGGTTTATCAAGATTTGTAGTGACTGCTTCGACTAGCAAGAAGGACGGACATCGTAATCCTGGTGGGTAATACGGATGCCCGGAAGAAGCATAATTTGGTGATAGATTTGGAGTCGATGCTCAGCATACGGATAGTGGGGAGCGACTGCTTCAGTTGTATGCAGATCATCGTCTATTCCCGGCCATCACAAACTTCCAACACAAACGCTCACATCGAATTACTTGAAGGCCACTGTCCACAAGGCACCCGAACTCAGATGGACCATGTGGCTATCAGTTGCCGATGGGGAGTCTCAGTCAAGAATTGTCTTTCCTTCTGGGGCACACAACTTGACTGTGATCATGCCGTTGTGCGGACCCGGTTATCACTTCACTTTCCATCAGCATTACGCGTATCGAAGCAGAGCAGCGTCATTCATCAACTTCAACAAGTTTCAGAAACTAGAAGGCTACTGGAAACTTAAACTGATGTGGATGACTAAGGTTTCTCGGGGTTTGAACGAAAGCAATTTGAAGAAGCTTTGCCCTCAACTTTCAGAACTTTGTCCAAGCCATCCGACTCGACCTTGTTGATATAGTCGACCTCAGCAGGTCTTATTGCTGGCACAAGGACCATACCACCAACTAGCGACTATGCTAGCTCACTTGGATCCCTCATACACCGGATAACCAAGGCTTGTGGGTCAGGAAGGCTCAGAAGATGGAGAAAGCTTCCGCTGCAGGCAACAGTCGTTCTATTTCAGCTGATTAGATCAACTAGCCAGGAGAAGATAAGTGTCGGCGAAACAGTGCACGAAAAAGAAAGAACAGCAATTCACTAACAAAATCGTCATCCTGGACGATGGACTGAATGCTTCAAAGGACAGTTCAGCTGAATTCCTTCACCACAACCACTGGAAGAATCCAGCGGACCTGAATGGAACGTGAACACCATCGTGCCGTCAACAACAGAAATCCAGCATGAGATGTCACTCCTCCCACGCGACCAGGCACCCGACCGGTCTGCACTNAAGAGTTGATAAGATCCTGCTGAACAGTATGACGACCATACTGCAGGAGATTTGGGGCGAAAACAATACGAGTGGAACAGACCTCCTCGACCGGCATCGCAGGCTATTGCCCTCAGTGCACATCTCCTCTCCCAATCTGCCCAGTTGAAAGTACACTGACAATACTGTGTTTATACGTCAATTATATCAGCTACCATCCCCAGTGTGCAGCTGTCTAGCCCCCTAAAATAATCGGCGAATGATACTCTGGCATCTCTAACCACTGTTCGAGAAGTAAGCGGCTTCTACAGCTGATAATGACGATGATTACGAGTAGTGTATTTCGTCTCAAACGACCGCAATTGAATGTTTGAAAGAACACTTTACTTCGGTTCCATATTCACGGTCCACCTTTCTGTTGAAGGCCAGGTTTCTGGATTGGAGGTAACAGGTGAGCAGCTGAATAGTCGTTCGAAGTACTGTGCCCAGCGATCCAAACGCTCCGTCTTGTTGAATATCAGGGAGCCATTTTGGTCCCTGATTATTTCACTGATAAGAGGTTTCCGAGGACCAGTCGGAGGAATCAAGTGGGACAGCTTGCACACGTTTCCAGCATTCTTTGCATATTCCATTTCTTCGGCCTCTTGGGTCCACCAAGCTTCTCGATCTGCGCGGACACTCAGTTTCACCTGGCGTCGGATGATGCGTCGGATGGAGTTGTGATTGTGGCTAGGATAAATCTGTTCCCGGGTCTCCAGCGAAGACACTGTCCCACCAAGGATCCAATGTTTGGATGATGTTGGCTGGGTTGTACCGCAAAAGCTTTGAGTAGCGCCTTGGATATATTTTCCCAGTGGCCGTTTATATCCGACATCATGCTGCCCAGCAGGCATTCGAGGAGCTGGTTCTGGTAAATTCGTTTGAATTCTGGATTCACGAGCTTTTCAGTGGCTTAGCTAGGTTTGCGCGTTCTGCGTACACTTGAAAGGCGCAGTGGAAAGCAGCAGCGTACAAGTGCATGGTCGAAGTCCACGCTGGTGTTCCAGAAGGAGCGGCAGGCGGTGATCGACCCTCGCCACCGATAACTGACGGCAATGTGGTCTATTTGGATTCGGCGCTCGTTTGATGGTGGACACTACGTTGTCAAGCGATTTCCGTTGTTCCGGAAATTCGTACTGCAAAGTCTGTGATCGGCACACATCTAAAGTAAGCGGTCTGCATTGTCCGTGCGTCTCGTGTCCAAACCAAGACGGCCACCCAATCGGGCTTCAAGAGCGCTTAGCCTACCTACCTGGGCGTTCATGTCACCAGCAGCCACAACGATATCTGAGCTTTTAGGTGACAGCTTTGATGCATGAGCACCACTGGCTGCGCGATTGGGTCATTTGTGCCAGTGTCGTTAACCATCGGTGAGTTGAGTCCCGAGGTCCTTATCCAGGGAGGCGGCAGATGTCAACCCAATTAAGTTTACTGGTCAGTGTTTTCATACTTCGTTTCCAGATCATACACTGCCCACTTCTCGGTCGCTTCCACTCAGGACAGGGCTGGCCGAAAAAAAAGCTATGCGAGGCAGGCGGTCTTCTGGCATTCGGAGTTAAACAACGTAGCCTATGAAGCGTGAGTAATTCATCTATCTCGGGAGAGTTCACTCTTTCTAGAGACATCTAGCGTACCTTAGCATTACTAATCCGGTATCACCACCAGACCCGACCAATGCTTCGGGGACACCGATGGTCCATCCGTNTGGATGAACTGACCAAAGTCATCCCGTCCTTTGGTATGCACTTTGCACCCACAAAGTGTAAGGTCATGCTTGTGGACGTACAGTCACTGAACACGCCACTTACAATCCAGGGAGAAGTACTGGAAGTTGTGGAGTGTTTTACGCATCTTGGTAGTTGTATTAGTTCTGACTGTAGTGTGACGGATGAGGTGAATGCACGAATCTGCAAGGCTCGGGCCGCGTTTTCTAACTTGAGACACCTATGGCGTCAGAATGGTTTATCCCTGAATCTGAAGGGGCGTGTGTATCAAGCTACAGTACGGGCTGTTTTGTTGTATGGCTGTGAGATTTGGCCTATTCGAGCAGCGGACCTGAGACGTCTTCAGGTGTTCGACAATCGTTGTCTGAGATCCATAGCTCGTGTGGGTTGGTGTCAGCGAATCCGTAACGAGGCGGTTAGAAAGCGTGTTTTCGGTTGTGTAACGGGTACTTCCATTGAAGAATGTGTCCAGCACCAGAAGCTGTGTTGGTTGGGACATGTTTTACGCATGCCGAATCATCGTTTACCGAAAAGAGTACTATTTTCTATACCCAATTCGGAGTGGCGTAAACAGAGAGGTGGCCAACCCTTGACTTGGTAGAGGAGTATGAAGGAGATCCCGAAACGCTTGGGTGCTGTCGTTGCTACTCGCCTTCCAGGATGGGGACCGCGTGATCCTCACTGTGCCTGGTTGGAGACACTACAAGATATGGCTGCCAACCGATGTCAGTGGCGTTCTTGTTGTCAGTTTCTATCCAGATTGCCTGAGTGAATGTCTGGAGGTGTAGACACCTCAGAATGATTGTGGCAAGCTAGCACTAAGTCCTTTCCCTGTCCACCTTTACTCTTTTCTTTACAATAAGGTTTCAAATAGGTCATGGTTGTACGGCAGTGAAGCATTGGTGTTGAACACAGATGTCATGCTGTCGATGATGATGATGACCGATGGTCCAACACTAGCATCTTCCGTGTCCCCTGCGCGCAGGGGCCATGTTTCTGATCCATAAAGCAGTATGTATCACATCACTTTAGTGTAAACTCTTCTCGTGACAGAGAAACTCATGCCACACTGGCTCCATAGGTGTCGGGGGTCGGCAAAAGCTGCCCTGGCCTTTCCGATTCGAGGAATGGTCCCATCTCCAGCCAGTCCACCGGAACTTATACAGCTTCTCAGGTAAATAAATTTATCCACCATATTGACTGGCTCATCTGTAAGCATGAGGCTTGGTTTAATTCCACCCAGTCTTGCAGCAGCGTCTTAAGCTTTGATGGTGTAATGCGCATGCCAAGACGTACGGCAGTTATTTCGGTCATTTAAAATGACTTGCAATTTTGAACGTCCTGAACTTAGGACAGCAACATAGTCCGCATACTCAATGCTTGAGGGAACGTCCCGGGAACATTTCCACTCCCAAAGTTTCGGAGGTAGACATAGAAACTCCCAGTAGCACATCAGTAACAAAGTAAAGGAGGAAAGGTGATGGGACAGCCTTGGCTTTCGCATGACGTTCTTGGGCCATTTTTTAAAACTGGAGCTATATTCGACTGGTATTCTGTTTCGTCCTAAATCTTCTGCAGTATGGTCGTCAGACAGTTCGCGCTGCTACCTTCTTTGAAGAGTATGGGGTGCGGACTATCCGGGCCAGAAGCTTTACCGCACTTCAGGATTGACATCTCATGCTGCATTTCGGTTGCTGATGTTGGGTTGGTGTCGATGTTTCATTCAGGCCAGCTGAGTTATCCAAACATTGTGCTGAAGGAGACCAACTGAAACCTTCTTTGAAGTGTTCAGCTCACTCCTCAAGACAAAGATTGAGGGAATGAACTGTTGTTCCGTCTTTTTCGCACATCCTTTCACTGACACCTGCCATCGTTCGACCGGTTGATCAAATCAACAGAAATGGGGAGCAAATGCTGCCTGCAGCCAAAGCCTCCCTCACCTCCTGGGCCTTCGAAATCCATCAGCTTTAGCATTCTTTAAGCTCCCGATTACCTCGTGTTTGAGGGTTCTACGTGCGCCATTATAGCCGCTAGTTGCAGGTATGGTCTTTCTGGTGATCCCAAAGACATCCAGTGTTTATTTGTTTGAGTCAGTTGTGAAAGCTGAGAGTATGGCTTCTTTCATTCAGCCTCCAAACAATCTTTTTCACATGCATCACTGTGCGTTTTCAGTAGCTTTCTAGCGAGAGACATTACGAAGAGTCTGGGTGCTGTTGGTGTTGTATGACTTTCAGGATGGAATCTCCGTGAATCATCCCCTGCTTTTGGCTGGAGACATTACAGGAAGTGGCGGCTGACCGATACCAGCGGCGTTCGTGTTGTCAGTTTTTCTCGATTGCCTGACTGAGCGCTTGGAGGTATAGGCATCTCAGAATGCTTGACGTAGACCAGCACTAGGTCCCCTCCCTCATCCATTCTTTTCACCCAAAGGCTTTGAATATAATTAGGTGAAATTTATGGTTCTATGGCAGCAGCATTGTCAACACCGGTGTTGCTGTCTCTGATGGCAGTTTGGAAAACAATTGAGCTCGTCTCCCTTAACACGATCTCTGGAAACGACTGGAATATCGACACCACCACCATCACAAAAGAAATCCGACGCATGGTACCATCTCTCCAACGCAACAAGACCCCCGGTCTAGATGATTTGCACCATGCACATTTCAAAGTTGGTGAAACCCCAGTAAGCAACATGACGACAGTACGACCAAAGATTTTAAACGAAAACGGAATACCAGTGGAATGGAGGGCTTCCAGTCCTCAAACATCGGACAAGAGCGCTGTGTGAAAACTATCGTGCCTTCAACCTGGTAGACGTATCACCAAAGATGCTATCTGGCATTATTGTGCATAGGCTGCCTGATTACCAAGAGAAACACATTAGTGAGATGTTGTCCTGACAGAAGATGTATTGACGATATTTTTACTTTGAGATAGGTTTTCAAGAAGCGACACTATCAGAAGTTCGATGGTACTTTCCTTTGACCTGAAGACTGCTTTCCTCTCCGTCGCCGGAAACTCTGGCGGTGTAGCCAGCATAAATGTCCCTGTCGAATTTATACCCCTTATCACGGCACTGGATACAAAATGTGGCCACGTAGATGTATACAAGCTTTCACCTCTAACCATATATATATGAGACAAGGCTGTCCTACCTTACCGTTTCTCCTCAACTTTGTCACCCATATCATGCTTCGACCTTGTCTGCCTGCCTCTGAAACATTGCGAATAACAATGCTCCCAGGGCGCTCTCATAGGTGTTCAGTATGCTGAGGATTGGCGCGGTGCACTTTCGAGTGCGAGATTTTTCCGCAAAAGACCCGTTTGCAGGTCGCATCTTTGCGACACTACTTAAGTGGTGAATTACTCCGAAAAATGGGAGGCCTTTCTGCATCGCCTTCAGTTGCGTTCACATTTTCCATTTGCACATACCAAAATTTACGCGCTTAGCTGAAACGCGCTCTATATTTTAATCAGCTGTCGTGAATACGACTGGCGCTCTGTTCCTGTTCAGATATTAATCCAAGGAACTTAAACTTGATGCTTAATCAGTCTCTTTGATTCTGTTCGGTCAGACCACTTCCAAGGCCCAATGTCAGGCGACACTATTGGACAACTAATGAGCTCTATACCAAAGTTTGCCTGAGTTTTCACCTGTGATATATATATATATATAGCACTTATTTTTAGCTACAACCCTTTACATTTCCTTCATCAACAATCCAGGTACCCACGCGGAATCAGGTATCTCTGATCTTCCAGAGGCATAACAAAAAAGTCCGGAGATGTTTGCTCGGTCTCCACGGCTTTTTCACGATGGTAATAAAATGGCAACCTTGTCAAACCAAAATCAGATTGTTTCGGCACTTTAGAAAAAGTCCGATGACTAACCTCTTGCTGCATGCGCCAGCCTTGCATTGATGAGACACCGTAGGTTATCCAGTCAGTGAATCCCGAGTCCGAATTTTTTTCGGTTGACGGCCTCGCCATATAAGCCCCCATGCCTGAGGAAGCACAAAAGACGCGCTACCAAATTGCCCCGTAAATGGTTCTATCCAGTTCGGTGTCGAGGTCAGGTCAATGTTCGCGCGATTAGGATATCACGTATTTCCCAAAAATATAATATCATTACACGTCTTTCGTGGCTTGATTTCACATTTTTTGCACGAACCTTTGTTTTTTCTACCTTAGTTAACCATAGAAGTCAAGGGACGAGCAGGGCAGGCTTACGCTTGCAATAATTTTGAGCTTGTGGTGGTTTGTACGTTTTTATGCTTCCGTTGTGATATCACATATTTGATCAATTGCATAAACGTTTTTGTTTGAATACGAACAAACTAAAAGAACGCGCTTTTGTGCAAATACACAGAAGAACAAACGTGGTCACATGCTTCGACTTTCTTTCCTGATTTTGCTCGCGTTTCCATCGGCCATTCGCGAGATTAAGCTACTAACTCTGAAATCAAAATATTTCAGATCACCTTTAGATTTTAGTATATGCGAGAAATGTTCAAAAGAAGATTCCTGGGCAACCATAATTGGATTGTTATGTATTCGCCGACCTAGGCCAACGACGAACGTTTTTAAATCAAGCAAATCTAGTTGAGGCCGTTCTATCAGATCGTCTTTAATATTGTACGCTCAATATAGCCTTATTATTTTTAGTTCTTTCTTGGACATTTCTGGTAAATTGGACTTTGTGGAAGCCAAACCACGACAACTCAAAAAGGAGGCCCGGGTGATTCTGCAGGGCTTGTAAACGGCTCTTTTTCATGCTCAGTATCATCTTCTTTTCCCCCATCATTATCAGTCACATCGATGTACGAAAGTTTGTTTTACTATAATACAACCGCCACCGCCCGCTTGTTGGCTCCAACGTGACTTTGAGACTTTTGCTGAGTGACTGCTGTTGCGGTGACCGCCGGTTGGCTATAATTGACTGCTGCTAACACTAAACGTGAACAAACATTTCAGCTACAAACACTGGACCATTATATTTACACTTGTGGAATAATATTTCGATCACCGGAGATCTGGAATACCAGGAAGATAGAACTATTTATTCTTGGTGTGGTGGCTCAACGGAATACGGAACTACGGAATCTCCTATTTTGAACTGTGAGTCAAGATTTACTTGGAGTTTTCTCCTTGTGACTTTGTATCTGGCTTATATTAGTAATTTGCTCTGTCCACTAGAGACTCCATAGGGCCCTTAACCACTACATAATTGATGAGCCCGAACATTTTTTCTGTTTTCTATTTTTCTTGCTGACTCAGAACTCCCATATCTCTCACGCATACACTTGCTCCAGTACTTTTTTTCAACCATGTCTGACGAAGACGAACTCAACACTGAGTTGGTTGGAAACGCCGTTCACGTAATACTGCCAGCTTTTGAAGTCAGTAACCCTAGAGTATGGTTTATCCAAACAGAATGTTACTTCCATTTCCGCCGAATCACCTCACAGCAGACTGTTTTCTTACGTGGTTTCTCAACTCCCGACCGAGGTTTCCGCGGAGGTTATTGACCTGATTGATCCTATGCCCGCATCAATTCCCTACACCACACTAAAAGCAGCAATTATTAAACGGACAGCCGCCTCGCACGAAGCGAATCTGCAAAAGTTGCCTGCAGGGGTCGAACTGGGTGATCGCACACCTTCGCAACTGCTACGGCACATGCAAACCTTGCATGCGGGAAGTCTTTTGACGTCATTTTAAAGCAGTTGTGGCTGCAGTGTCTCCCCTTAAGCACTCGCCAAATTCTGGCTACACAGTCAGATGTCTCTCTGTCGTCACTCGCTGAGACGGCAGATAAGATCCACGAATGCTTCGCCGACCGTTTGATAGCCTCAACCGCACAACAGCCCATTCAGCGTAACGACAACCCTGTTATGGCTCGATCGAATGCAGGCGCAAATGGATCTTCTCGCTGGCCAGTCAGTAGTGGTGACAGCTGCCACTGGCCATTCACCTTGTTGCCTCTACCACCTTACGAATAGAACCACCGGAATGCGGTTCCTCGTCGACACCGGTGCAGAGCTTAGCGTTATTCCTGCCGGAAACTCGAAACGCTACACTTCTGACCCGCTAACGACACTACAGGCGGCTAACGGCACGCGCATAGCTACCTTCGGTCATAAGTCACTGACGCTTGACCTGGGTCTTCGCCGTTCATTCCCCTG